AAAACTTCAATACCAAATTAATTTCCAGCCCAAGGCATTCCACCCCGGGCTCCTGGGGCTGCCCAGCACCCACCTGCACGATCTCCTCCTTGCGGATGCGGTGGAAGCTCAGCTGTCCCATGGGATACACTGGCTGCCACTCCTGAGCCTTCTTGGTTGCCACCAGCAAGTTGGAGATTTCTGCAAGGCAGAGGGGAGAAAATAAAGTTTTACAAAGGAAAAACTTCCTTTCCTTCCAAGGATGGAAATGCATTCGAATCCCCTGAAAAAGGAGAGGAAAAAAGAAACTTGGATTTGGTTTCTGCTCTTTGTTCAACAGAGAGATCATTAAAGCACAGTTTCATGTTTGTATTTTCAATACTGAATTGTTGTCAGCCACATCAGGTGATACTGAGCAACTGAACAGAGTTTTCTGCATGAAGATTGAAAGAGGAAATACCTGCGCTGTACATGGAATAAAATGGAATAAAATATCCCCCATGGCCTCCTGCCAGCAGGGCCATCTCCTTTCCAGTGTGCAAGGGGGAGTCTCATCTCCTCTTCACCTCCTTCCTAATTCCCTGTGCTCTGGGAAGCACCAGCAGTGTTCCCAGGGCACTGGAATTCAGCTGGGGAATGAGCAGAAGGAACAGACTCAAAAATCCAGAGCTTCCTCCTCACTGCTGCAGGACAGAGCCAGAAGTTTGGCACAGGAATTCTGCCTTCCAGGCATTATTTACTGGGAGAGGATGGATTGGGATGTGTGTGGCCATCTGGGTTTCCTCCTGCTGAGAGCAGAACCTGGTGCTGGGGCTAAATCATCATCTGCAGCTCTGGAATCACCAGCAATAACCACACCCTGCCAAACTGCTTTAGCCCTGCATCCCCTGAGCTTCTTTGTGAATATCTGATTAAATATTCAAACAGAAGGAACAAACCCACCAGGGGAAGAGACAGAACAGGGAACACACACTGAATCCTGCTGGAACTAAAGCCAGGGACAAGCTGAAGTGGGCAATCAACTCCCTGACCCTTTTGATTTTATTTTATCCCAAATCCAGCCATTAAAAAGAAACCAAAATGTCAAATGTGCGATGTCCCCCTGCTCCAGAGCGTGAGCCACGTGCTTTGTGCAGAGTGGGAGAAGCTCAGGGACTGTCCCAAAGCCTCAGAGCAGCAGGTGATGGATGTGGCTCAGTTATTCCCCTGCTTCTAACAGGAAACCATTATCAGCTCAGCACAATCAGCCCACTGTGCTTCCTCTCTCACACCAAATTCAGCTGTGAGACAGAGTTCATAGCAAACAGCTCCAGGGAGCGCTGCCATCACCCAACAACCGCCCCATTGTCCCTCAGATGGGACCTCACAGATGATCTCCTGCCACCAGGCTCCTCAGGACATCCCTTGGGACCAGAACCCTTCCCTGCAGCCTCGTGCACATGAGCTCCTCAGCAGCAGCTCACAGTGACAGCAAACACAGCAGGTTCCTCTTCCCCCCTCCTCAGCCCTGCCTACCTGTTCTGTTTCCTCCCCAGAGAAGGAAAAAAACTTCAAACCTCTTGTTTTTTTAAAGAGCTTCACACCAGGACACAGCAAAAATACACTAAAAAAGCCTCCTGGTGTCTGGAATTTGTTCCCTTGCAACAACAAAACCCTGCAAGGCCAAAGCTACCTCTGGGTCTGGGCTGGCAGCACCTCTTGAGGGTGAAGCTGATGTTGTCTGTGCGGAGGATTTGTCCCTTCAGGTGATCCATGAGGTCTTTCAAGGATGCAAAGGATTTGTTGGAGCCATGGAGGAAGTACCCCCCTTTCTTCACCTCGATCTGGAAGTTCTTGTAGGGGCCTGAGTTATTCATCACCTGGTGTTGGAGGGACAGGGAGAAAAAGAAAGCAAATTGGGTCACTGGAGTGAAAGAATTGTTTGTGAAGCCACCAAAGCTTCCCAAAATCTTGGCACTGCACGTGGAACCAGCTCAGGCCCTGTTCCTAAGTCAAGGTCCTTTAATCAAACTGCAACAAAGCAGAAAAAACCCTAAAATTCCTGGAATTTTCACTCCCTGGAAGGCTCAAAGAGAAGAGCAGCATAATAAAGATCAATCACCCAGCAAGCCCAAATTATGTTTGGTTGGGTTTTTTTGCAGAGTTTGAGATTTAAGCAGTTTTGCCTTTCTGGAGGAATTTTCTTTCTTTGGTCAAGAATTGCAGAATCTGGAGCAATCAGGCTTTCAAAATCTCAACTTAAAAATAGCAAAGCTCCCTT